CCAGGTGGAGCTCCAGACTCTTGGGTGCCAGATGATTAAGCCCTGCTTTTCGCCAGGGTTGGAAGCAGCTGCTCCCATATCAAACCTCTTTTTCTCTCAGCCAGTTGCGGCAGAGTCTACACCCAGCTGTGATTCGCGGTGCTTGCTGGCAGCTCTCATCTCCACCGACAACCTTTCATCTCGATTCCCTATAAACTTTTCTTAATATCTGCTTGTTAAACCTGACAGAATGGCATTAGAACAAAGCTAACCTGGCTGCTGAAATGCTGGCAGCATCATGTGTCAGGCCTTTTTGCTTCTTCCTTTGATAAAGTTTTGCCCAGCTATTATTGCAGAGGCCTCGTTGGATGGTTCTGAGGCCTCAGAGCAGAAAGGCATCCATCTGCTGCAGAGAGCTCAAAGGGTGATGTGGTCCTGGGGTGTTCCCAGAGTTGAGTCATGTATTTCTTCCCCCAAATTATTCCCAGTGAATACCAAACCCAAACTCCCCATCTCAGCTTATGTAAGTACTTTTCAAACCTTTTGAAATAAAACTTTTAAATTTGGTTGTTCTACTTAAAAATCCCAGAAGCAAGACAGATCTCGGCAGTTGCATAAAATGATCTTGAGGACAATTGCTTTCTAGGGGTCTCAGAGCAAGTTAGATCTTATGAAGAAAAAAAAAAACACCTTGTTTATGGTAGGATATGAGGTCTCTGTCCCTCCCTAACATCTAGCTGGTGTTCGAATTGACATGATTAAAGATGAGAGTGCTGTCTGGACAGTTTGAAGGGCAAGGCTTGCAATTCATATTGCTGTGAAGGGCCCACCTTGCCTTCAGACTGGTTAAGAGCCCTTTCCAAGACCAGGGCCTGCCCACTGCAACTGACTCCAGCTCCGAGGCTTTCTCTTTGGGAATGGCTTTCCACCTGAGGTCTTCATACAGATCCGTGAAGAGTCATACAAATCCACAGAAACTGCCATCTAACACTTAACTAGGACACTCCTTGCCAGAAGAGTAGGTGCCCCCAAAATGTTTTTGTCATTGACTTGGGAGTATAGTTAAAAAGTTAAGTTAGGGGAAATGGTAAATCAAATGTGTTCTTCCCTGAAAAGAGCGTCAATAATTTAGTTTGCCAGATTTAACCTTTAACTCTGGACCAGCTTTCACCCCGCCCACCCCAAGCCCCATCACTGGCCAACAAAGGATTATATGGTAGTGTTTATAGGATCTTCATTAGCATAGTCGTCTCTCTTGTCTTTATAGCTGAGTTTTTCATATTCATTTATTTTGACCTATGTGAAGGCAAATACTAGATTTGAAATATTCTTTGTAATCATCCCGGCTTCCCTCCATAGAGTCTAACTGGTCTTGATTGTGTGAAACCTCTGTGAATGCCATTGGCATTACATCCCTGGCTCTGGGCATCATTTGGAGCTAAAAACTCAGAACGCTCTTTTTACCTCCTTAAGCACTTCTTAATATATGATACATAATTGCAAGGAAGAAAAAGATAGTTTTTCAGCACCATGGGTCAACATTTTGGGAAAAATGCTATGGCAGAATACTAGTTAAACTCAGTTAATGTCAGTTTCAAGTTCAAGAACAAACAAATGAGATGCCTGGTTCTTTGCTCCCCCACACCCATACTCTCCTTTTTACAAGCTATGCCAGGGAGAATTCCCATCCCCAGACTTTTCTCCTTATAAGGTGTGGTTTCTGCCATTAAGAAGGCTGCTTGGATATGGAAGACTTCAAGCACTAAATTATATCTCCTGCTCCCTGCTCACTGGTAGCAACTGTGCCAGGGTCCAAAAGGAAACTGTGTAGGTGTGTCCTAATAGGAGACAGTGTTCTTCCTCTAATTGCTGTAAAAGCTTTTGAAGCCATTGTCTGGTGGATCTAAGTAGATTGATCCTGGAGGTGTGAGCTCAGACTGCAAGTCAGGAGCTCAGAGTGGTAATTCTTGGGTTGGCAATGACTCACTGTGGGGCCTGCGGCAAGCTCACTCACCTTCCCTGTGCATCAATTTATTCATCTACAAAACCGAGGGATATTAATACACAATTTCCTGATGGGATATTATATGGTTTAGGCATTAATAATCATGGCAAGTAAGTTTGACGGCAAGCACCCCCAGAGGTGTTACCTGGTCGAAGCCTCTATGAGTTTTCAGTAGGCTTTGTTGGTTTTGTTTCTAAGTCTGGAATTCTCTTTTTGAAGGTCTTTAAGTCTACTGTAAGGAAATTCAAGTTCCCTTGAAGTTTTGTCCTAATCCTGGTAAGCGCAGATGATTTCCTTTAGGACTGTGTCACATGGTAGTTTTCTAAGAGATCTTTTCACCTACCACAGAGACCACCCCCTGCTGCCCCTCAGGACCAGATGCCACGCAGGATGGGAACCAGCTTCTGTGGTGGGGACTACGTTGTCTCATAGCCCATCTGCCTGAAAAACCCCTCGTGGTCTTGGCAGAGCTATTGTGTCAACAAGAAGCATCGTAAGGACACCCTCCTTTGTTGATGGTCTTTTTCCATGTCTGATGAAGTAGCCCTTTTGGGGATAAAAAACTCAAAGTGGAAAACAATGTGTCAATAAAGGGAAATAAAATGAATGTGTTAGCATTAATTTGTTACATTCTACATGTGCTCTTCTGAAGAAGTGGTGTTTATATTCAGGGCCAGATGCAGGCTTCCAGTATTGTAACGTAAGAAAGGACGCAAGAGAAATGGATCCAGCAGCCCTCACATAGCGTCCATCTCAGCCAGATCCTCCTGTGCTTTGCTCACTTACTTCTCTCCGTGGAAAGGAGTACAATTCCTAAGTGTTCCAGTCTCTGGGTAGACTGGCCTCTGCTCTTTGTCTTCCATATTTCAGGTCTCTAGAGTCCTGAAGCATATTTCTGTCTCATCTACTTAACTCTGCTGTTAAATCTCTGCCACCATGCCTGTCTCTTCAGCTCACCAGATTTCACACTCATTTGCCAGTGGCTGTGAAAGGAAATGACAGCAGAATTTCTCATGGTCTTGGCTCCCATCCAGCGTGGAAAACTTACTGAGTTGATGTCTCCCAGAGCCCGTCTCTAACTCAGGTGTCCCTGTTTCATTGGGCCCAGCAGATTTCCTACATCTGTGGTGTATGACATTGTAAAGAGTTCAATCTGGACTCTTTCCCCCCCTTATGTGTCCCCATTCCTTGTTTAAGCCAAGGAGCCTCCCCATAGGTTTGAGACTGAAAAAGTGCAGATTGTATCGGTCCTGCTTTTAGCAGTGCCCTGTGGAATAAGACACCTCCTGCTCAATGTTCCCTCTACTGCTTTTAAGGTGTGAACAGACGAGCAGGATCCATGAGCTGACAACCATGCTGTGTGAGCACCAGAGATGGTGAGCAGAGCTCTCCTAGTGGCTTAGAGCCCCGGAAGGAAAGAAAGGAATGCAGGCATTTCGTGTTCATTCATTCATGTACTCATTCTTTCACACACCCAGCAAGTAGTTACTGAACTCTCTTGTGCCGTGCATTGGGTCGGCCATTGAGATATGAGAGCTGACACCAAATGACTACTATAGAGCAGGTCCTGTGCTAAGTGTGTCTTCGACAACGCTGAGGGACAGTACTGTGGTTATCTCCACTTTAAGGGGAGGAAATAGGCACTCAGAAGTGTTAAGTAATGTCACACAGTCAGCAAGTGATGTAGCCAGCATTCGAATGCAGATAGTCTCACTCAAAGTCCTGACTTAACAGCTACACTACACTGCTTGAATGCAGGACTCTTTACTAGACGTTGTGGGGGTTACCAACAGAAATAGGACATAATTCCTGTTCTCTGAGAGCTAATGGTAATAGACGGAACAGATATTGTTGTGCTGCAACTTACATAGTTTGGACACTTCAGCGTGCCTCAGTTTTCTCACCCTTGAAATAAATGTGATAATGTTTCCTATTTCTTAGAGTTATTCTGAGGATTAAATATGCTAAGATATATAAAACACTTAGGGTAATGCTTTGATCACCCAAGAATTATTAGTTGTTCATTACTGTTTCTATTATTACCTATTAATATTCACCATGGATATATAACAGTATTCGTTGTACAACCACTGTATATCAGACATTATGTTAATCACTTAGTGATCTGTAGTAAACAGGATATATAGTCGATGTCCCCTTTTATTCTTTCATTGGAGTGAAGGTAGCCCAAAGAATAATTCTAACAGCAAGGAAATGGGAGAGCCCTGTAAGACAGTACTGTTTCCTTCTTAACACAAAGAACACAAAGTTAACTCCACTCTGGCTCCCGCAGGAACAAAGAATATCTCAGATTATTAGCTTAAGGAGAAAGGAGGAGAGAAAATGCTGTATTTGGTATAGGGAAAATTGTTTGAGAGCAGCTGGGGTGGGGGAAGGGAAACAGAGAGAGCAGCAAGCAGCTCACCCCAGGCCACTGCATCTCCCTGGTTCTCCAGTGGGTCACTCCAAAGATGTCCTGAAAGCTCACTGTTCTTTGTAGGTGGGAATAAGGGCAAGGTAGAAGTCAGTGAGGCTTTCAGGGAAGGGCAACCCAGCCCTACCTTTTTGCATTGTGTATCCACTCAGTTGACTAAAGGGCAGACATCAGTTTTCTCTGGCCTTTCAATACAGAGTGTATGAACAAGCGGGGCTCAATAGGACCTGTTTAGGAGGAAATGGGGGTCTTCAGATTTATTTGCTATGTTCTAGAGACATGCTATGTCCAGGGATACAAATACAAAAACGAACAGTCTCTTTTCTAAGGGAATATGAATTGTTTCCTTCCCTACCATGTTTAGCCCAGAGATGCACTTATTCCACTCCTTGGCCTTATGGGTAGTATTGCCATGACATCATCTGGTTCCCCCCACCCCCCATACAAAAAATTCAATTGTCTGAAGACTGAGACTTATGTAATCACTTTGACGGAAAAAAATGAAATGTTTTTGAGCAGGAGATAGAAGTGGGCTTTGCAAACTTCTTTGAAGATCTTGTAACTGATATTTCTGTGTCACAGGTGGTGAGAATCCTGGAGTGTGACTAAGTTGCCCCCAAATGATGAGATGACCACTGTTCTTATTGCATCACACGGTGAGATGTCCCTTTGGTTTCTGGAAAGAGCAGTTGAGGATCCAGGGCCACCAGAGTCTGAAACAACACTGCCATCACCAGCATGTCCTGCCTCTTTCTCCTCACTTCCTATTCACCCTGAAAATGGGTTTCCTTTTAAGATTGCAAAATAATAAGGTGGATCCCCCCCCCCTTTTCACGCAAGAGCACCATTTCCACCTCCCACAGCTTTCTTTGTTTCAAATTGTTCATTCTTGGCAGTGATATTCTTAAACCAGGGAAGAATGAGGAAATTTCACTGTCTTGGTGAAATTACCTCATTTAGGAATAATTGGTATTCACAGAAGAGATGCACATTTTCATCCACCTAGTAATGAACAAATTAACAAGACACCTACTGAGTTGTGTTAACAAAATTACCAAATGTAAAAGGAACTAATTACTATCCACTTCATCCAGACAGACTCAAAACTGCATTCATAATGGGCTTTGTGGCTGACTTGATGTAACTGTGGAGAAAGGAAATGAACAGGTGCCTGGTGATCAAAGATTCTGTGCTTGGTGATTGTTTTGGATGGGGTCCCTGCTTCTTGAGAAGGTGAGATTACTTCTAGAGCCCTTTCTTCCTTGCTGGTGAAGATGTGTACAACATGCACACTTTCTTTACAGAGGTAACTGATGGTTATCCATAAAATAGCAACCAAAGCCTACAAATATGAGATTTCTGGAAATAGTCATCTTATGTGAAGAGATGTAGCCGGCAAGCTGCCTCTTTGTTTACTGGTTCACCCAGCAAAATTCACAAGGAACCCCTGGCCTGGTGCCTGGAAATGCTTGGGGATGATTTATGATAAAAATGAAAAAAAATGTGTGTGTGTGTGTGTGTGTGTGTGTGTGTGTGTGTGTGTGTATCTGGAATTTTGGTATTTACTCATATTGGAAACCTCTTTTTTTCAGGTGTTTGAAATAGGCTGGTGGTAGTTTTACAGACCAGACAATTTAACTAATCAATGAATTAAGTTTAATTGCATATGATAAATGTATATATATTTTCAGAATTTATAATATTGCTCTAGAGGAATTTGAAGTAATTTTTGGACTGTTTAGTTTCAACTAAATATCTCATCATTTGAAGTTGCAAGTAAAAGAAAATGAAGGTTATATAGATGTTAAGATGAGGGAGAGGAATAAAAGAAGTCTTTAGTTTCTTCATGTATTTATTCATCCATTCATCCATTCAGTAAGTATTATTGATTGGCTACTGTGTGCTAATGAAGTTCTAAATGCTGGAGATAAAACAAGAAATAAGACAAGTAAAATCTTTGCACTCAAACAGCATAAATTCTGGAGAATAAGAGATAAAAAAGAAAGTAAAGGGGAAAAAGGCAATTTCAGAGAATGAGAAACAGATGATATGAGACAGTAATAGGATGGGGGATGGAACTACAACATGATGTAGAGTGGTCAGGGAAGAGTTGGAGATGTGTTTTTCCAGTCAATCCAGTGTACACTAGTCTAGATTTCATATGACAACCAGTCCTTACGAAGCATAGATTTTTTTTTTTATATTTCCTGCACTCTATCATATTTTCCTGGCTCAGTTACATGTATCTAGATGTGATTATCTACACTTATTTCTGCACCGTGTAGCAAATTTCTCTACCCCTGTGTGAAGAGAGGGCACTCTTTATTTGCCTCTGGGAAACCAATGGGGTAACTATTTTGATAAATGACAACATATTGAGTGAATCTCAGCATTAAGGCAAACATATCTGAGCAATTAGCTCAGAGTGACTGTGGGTAGAAACAGGATCTGGACTTCTAGGAAGAAATCTCTCAATTGGGAGTTCTCACCACATAAACACACACACTCGGAAGGGATATGGTGGAGCTGTAGATAGGGTTCAAGCCTTCTGCACTCAGGTCCAGTGAATGTTGGTTGAATGCATTAGTAAGTGAATAAATGATTGAAGGAATAAATAGAATAAATCTATAGCTCTTGGAAATGATTTTAGACATGGGTATGTAGAGTCAAAATACACCAATGGAAAAGCCAGCACCACACACACATGCACATATGTGCACACACATCTTATATTAGTAAGTTTCCCAAAGCAAAGCTGTGAAAAGACACAAGAGGCCTTCTCTGGACTGGTCTGACATAGAGGGTTTTATATTAACATTTTTCTCCAGGGAAAGATGTGTTTGAGACTATGTCAAAGAGTTTAATATCCTACTTCTGCAAATGCGTAAAATATCTTTTCTTTTCTTCTATAGCTGGGGCCATCTCAAACTAAGGCAAGTATGGGAATATTAGATTTTCTTTTTTTGATAAAGCATAGAGATGAAAACAGGAGAAGGGGGTGTCATTAAAATTAGAGAACCAGTCAGCCATTTGGTGACCATCGCGAGGCAATGGGAAGAACAAGAGACCAGGATGACGAGCTGGATGGTGGTTTGGGATGAGTTAATTAACCTCCCTGAACTGCAGTTTTTAAAGTATAGGTAGTGCTTCATATCAGTTTTCAAAGTCAGTTGAGAGTGGAGCATGCTGCATCTTCATACTTGTCTTGCAGAAGCTCGTAACATAGGCGTTGAAAGAGTCTGAACATGGTGTGCCTGGGCGACTCAGTCCATTAAGTGTCCGACTTCAGCTCAAGTTATGGTCTCATGGTTTGTGGGTTCAAGCCCCATATCAGGCTCTGTGCAGACAGCTCAGAATCTAGAGCCTCCCTCAGATTCTGTGTTTCCCTCTCTCTCTGCCCTTTCCCCACTCATGCTCTGTCCTCTCTGTCTCTCAAAAATGAATAAATGTTTAAACATTTTTTTAAAAAGCATCTGAAAGTCTTTTAATAGAGACACCTGCTTCACTTTGTTGAAAAGAACATGTTCAAAATTTTGTCCTTTTGATTACTGTTGACATATTGTGGAATTATTTTTCCAATAAATGTAATCTTAGAATGCTGTTCAAGACTCTCTGATAGCTGTACATATCATGTATCGAATACCTGATACACACTACACCCATACTGCATATCCACATCTTCTTTCCAAGCAGAAAAGGCCAATTTCTTCCCCATTCAGCCACCATGATTGGAGCTCACTTGAAGGTCAATTCATCTCCTGTTTTTTTTTAAAGCTCCTGTAAGAGAAATTTATCCTCATTAAATCTCTTGGCAAGATTCACAACTTCCTAAATGTTCTAAAGAATACTTCTTTCCAAATGCAAAATCAGATTTTTAGGTAAAAGCCATAGGCATAAAGGTTCTTATTACTTTTTTTTTGCTTTTTCTGAAGTGGAATTACCTTATCTTGGATTATTCTTTTTATGTAGCTATGGAAGGATGTAAGTCTAAGGGATGTGTGTAAATAGATGCCATCTGCTAACTGCAGAACCCAGTGGAGGGTGGCGCCGCTTTTTGTGGTTTTCCCTGAGTTCTGTTGCAGTTGTGATCTCTACAGGAACGGAATCGCTTTCACCTTCTTCCGTATCTTTTTCTGACTTGATCACCATAGAATTTTCAGTCCTAAACACAATGTCTGACATAGAGTTGGTAGGCATTCAGTAAAACAACTGTGGAATAAATGAGTGAGGCTGAGGGGGAGGGAAAGAAGGAAAGAAAGGAGGGATGGAGGGAGGGAGGAAGAAAGATGGAAGGAGGGAAGAAAAAAGAAGGAAGGAAGGAAGGAAGGAAAGGAAAAAAAAAAGACATGGTCTTTTGTATTCCCTACTATTATAATCTAAGTAGGTGATGCCTGTTTTCCCCATTTTACATTGTGTTATGCTATACCCTGGAATATTTCTGCCATCACCCTAGTGAATGCTTGTTTTGCTTCCAATTATCCTATAGCATCTGCTTTTTAAGCTGGTGGTGGCCACTTGTTACCAGAGACCCTTTGGAAGTAGCTAAAGGCCAATCAATAACATGCTGATACTTTGGGAGAGATTCTGCTCCAAAAACATAATTGTTGGAAATTTTATACTATCGTTTGGCTTGAAGCACAGCATGTAGTTGTCACACGGGGACATTTGCTCTGGGGGTGAGTGTGACACTGATAGGATCTAATTTCACACCCAATACAACAGGTTGAAGAGCATCACTTCTTTGCAAACCTTGAGTTTTGTCTGCTGCTTGGTGCCTTTTTGTTGCCAGACTCTATTTCCTAGTTTGCTCTGCCAAAACTGGCAGGCTAGCAGCTTTTCAAAAAAATTAGGCAGAAGATAGAATTTTCTGTAGCATATGATGAAAGATGGGGAAAAAATGAAAGTACTAAAATGTCTTTATACAAATGCAAGGACTATAGGAGGTTGGCAAGAAGATAACTGTGTATTTGAGTGAAGGAGGCTATGACTACAATTTAGATAAACAAAATCTGCTGAGATCATGTTCATTGCTAAGATGCCATCCTTCAAAGATAAATACCTAGAGGGATTGGATAAAGAAAAACAAGTTGAAGAGGTGCCATCTACATCAAAGTGCTTTTACAAGTATTAATGGGGCTCATACTTGGTGCTTAGCATTGAGACCAGCACTAAAGTTGAATTGTGGCTTAGGAGACATAAAAGCTGTACAATACTACTGCCTGTTTTCAAGGTGCTTCCAGGTTTGTGGGAGATGCCATATTCTTCAAAAAAATGTCTAACACCGGGCTTTATTTCTCATAGTTAAAATTACTTGGATGCATTTATATATCACATACATCAATTGAGGATACAAAAGTGCAAAGAAAAGCTGTAGTTTCAGTTCTAAGGGCTTTTGTAAACTATAGGAAGATATGCAGACCACCCTCACACAAGGCAGAATGTTCTACTTACCAAATCAATTGTACCACTTTATTAGGCATTCAGTGGAGGGAAATATCACTTCTTTCTCATAGGAACAAGGGAAGTCCTTTGTGGAAGGTCGCATTTGGACTGGGCTTTGGACAGTTGGTAGGATTTCAGGAAGAGGAGATATGTCTGCATAATTAATGGCAAAAAGAAGTGAATGAGCAAAGGTGAGAGAACAGAAAAGAACATAATTTCTAAAAAGTTTGCTTCTTTGCTCATTTCTCTATCTCAGCTATTAGCACCTTCATCTTTACCTGGACGCCAGACTGGGGATCGGTGAGTCACTGATAATTTCTAATTTTCCTTCACTCATTCAATTTAAGAAGTCGTTGAGCCCTACTGATTTCACTGCTCATAATGGCAAAAACTTGACCCTCTTCCTGAATTGGCCTTAGTGAGGATATTATCACTTTGTTACTTAGTGTAGATGCTTTCCTGTACTTTCCTTGTTTCCAGGTTGTACCATCATAATCAACCCTCTGGAGAGCTTCCTACCAGAGAGGTGTTTCTATGACTCTAATCTCATGATGTCAGTTCTGCTTAACATCTTTCAGTGATGCTCCATTACCTACAGGAAGTCCAAACTCCTTAGTATGGCATGTATGTCCTCCTTGAATTGGTCCCTGACTGCCTCTTCAGCTTCTGCTTCCACCTTTCCCTTCACAGTGGTCTTTTCTTGGTAGATAGTGGAGATTATCATCATTCTTTTTAGAGAAAAATAACATAAGAGAAAGATTAAGTTAGTATTTCTTTGCAGGAAAGATTAAAGAGTGAAAAGATTATATACCTAATGTAAAGTCAATAGACCTGGATTTGCATTCTAGATTTGCCACCTATTCGCTGTGTGACTTTGGGCAAGAACATAACTGCTATGAATCTTACAAGTTCCTAGTGAAGATTAAACTCAACTATGCAGACAAAGTACTTAATAATTTAAAATTGTGGGAACAGAGCACACTTGTATATATTTAATAAATGGTAGTTTGTTGCCTTTTTCTCTTCCTTTCCTACCTTCCTCACTTTTCTCCCACTTCTCTTCCTTTTTTCTCTCCCTTTTCCTTCCTTTTCTCCCTCATTTCTTCCCTCCCCCTTCCCCTACTTTGCTTCTTTCTTTTTCTTACTTTTCCCCTTTTCTTAGAAACTTAGAGGAAATAGAAGCCAGAATCAGTGTGTGAAAATGAATATTTGAAATAGATCCATGTCTGAGTGAGATGTATTACAAAACTTCAGGACATCATGGAAAAACAAAATCAAAAGTAAAACTGTGTAAATGACCCACAACATGGTTGCAAAAAGAATAGAAGTATCTTTATATCAGATAGTTGTGTATTGTCACTCTAAAGTATAATTAAATATTACTTTAAAAATTTTTTAATGTTTATTTATTTTTGAGGGAGGGGGAAGGGCAGAGAGAGGGAGACACAAAATCCAAAGTAGGCTCCGGGCTCTGAGCTGTCAGCACAGAGCCTGATGCGGGGCTTGAACCCATGAACCATGAGATCATGACCTGAGCTGAAGTTGGACACTTTTAACTGACCGAGCCACTCAGACACCCCTAAATATGACTCTTTATTTACTAAATAAATATGAGTGTTGAGGGTTTTTTTCTGTCAAAATTGGCATACCAACAGGACATTTATTAGGATTCTAATATTCTGAACATAGAGCACATGGACCATCATGTTTATTGGACACAATGTATATAATGCCTAGGGCCCATACACTTTCCAAGTACTTGAAAAAAAAGAGTTTGCAATCTTGGAAACTAATACATCCATATAAGAAATAATTAAATTTCCAGTAGAACCTAATACATGGAAAGTTAGCATAACTGAAGTTTGGGGAAGCATTGATACAGAAATTGTGAGATTGTTGTATTTTAGATATTTTCAACAGTGCCTAGACAGAGTGTAAGAATCCAAAGAACTAAGGTTAATACATAGGTAATGAATTGAATGATTGACTATCCAGGGCAGAATCTGTTTTGGAGAATATGTATAGACCTAGACTTCTAAAAGGAGAGAGAGAGAGAGAGAGAGAGAGAGAGAGAATGTATGAATTCATTCTTACAATAGCTCCGTGAGGCATATACTATTTTGTTTGTCACAGTTTGTAAAGATTATTGTTTGTCAATCTCTTTTATTGCATATGTCTTTTAGAAACTTTTCTCAATATTATGTTCCTTATAGTTTATTTGCTGCAACAGGTATGCATTACTTTTTAAGTTTTAGAATGGAAATTTTAGATGAAGAAATATGAGTCATGCAAAAAGTAGAAAAACTTTATGTATTAGGAGATAGGTACTCTAATTAAACAAAATAGTTGCAATTCCTCTCAAAATGAATGAAGGAAGGGGCGCCTGGGTGTCTCAGTCAGTTGAGTGTTCAACTTTGGTTCAGGTAACAATCTCATGGGTTGATGAGTTCGAGAGCCCCTTTGGGTTCTGTGCTGACAGCTCAGAGCCTGGAGCTTGCTTTGAATTCTATGTCTCCCTCCCTCTCTGTCCCTCCCCTGCTCAGGCTCTGTCTTTCTCTCTCTCAAAAATAAATAAACATTTAAAAAATGAATGAAAGAAATGTAAGGTGTCTTAGATGAAGAAATGTTTTAAATTATCTTTAGTGAAAACATTTATCTGAATAGGATAAAAGGTACATATTTAAAATAAGTGCAGAAAAGATGCAAGGACTGAATGAGCACATCTTAGTGAAGTTAGGTTAAGTGTTATTAAGGAGGAAGGAATTTTCTAAGAAAATACATTCATAGAGTCAAACGAGAAAGGCCATGGCAATACGATGAATATAAAATGGCAAAATTCCTGAACATTTATATTTCCGATTTTATTTAAACAAGAAAAGT